CAAACCTGGCCTTGACAAGGCACAGAGCCACGGAAGGATTTTCTCATCTCTTTGGGTCCACAGCCCTGAATAAAAAACCTTCCCTGGAGGCTTTTCATGTGGAAAGCGCTGTCAGGGAAGCGAGCCTTCAAAGGCACCTGTGCTTTCTGCTGGGAATTTAGAAGCCTACCTCAAACCTTCGGAGGGAGCTGCCCAAAGCGCGGGCAGCGCCCTAGGGAGGGCCCTTCGTAGCGAGGACCACATCGTGCGGGAGAGGAGACATCAGATGCCTCATACTAGCCAGATTTTTTTTCAGCTGTGTTGTTCAGGCTGAGTCTTTGCAGTCTTTTACCTGCACCCATCTTCCTTAACTAGGGACAGGACGAGAGGCAACAGCCTCAAGTGGCACCAGGGGAGGTTTAGATTGGACATTAGGAAAAATTTCTTCGCTGAGAGTGGTCAAACACTGGAACAGGCTGCCCAGGGAAGTGGTGGAGTCACCGTCCCTGGGGGTGTTCAAAAAACGTGTAGATGTGGGCACTTCGGGACATGGTCTAGTGGGCACGGTGGTGTTGGGCTGACGGTTGGACTTGATGATCTACCGTAGAGGTCTGTTCCAACCCTAAGACTCCATGATTCTGTCCTTAGTGTTCGACTCACCTGGGATTTTGCAGGTAGGAGAAGGTGTGGGAGCAGGAGGTCAGAGGCGCCCTTGAAGGGGCAGCACGTGTGCGCGGGCAGAGATCTCTGACGACCAGTGCCCCAGGTGGGTACCAGTGGGTACCGGTGAGGGCTCATACACCCAGGGACGGCATCTCTCAAGGAGGTCTGGGTGCAGGGCAGCAAGCAACTTCTGCTTGTGTGATGTGAAGTGCCTCTGATGGGTGCGAGGGTAACTCAATTGTAGGAATTGAGTCGGTGAAATAGTTTTTGTTTGAGCAGGGTTTAGATTTAAAACTGTTGTCTGCTAAAGGTGGATAACCGACACATTAATTTCATTTATCGTGCATCAACTATAGACACATAAAATAGGTTATTTATCTTAGAATGTATGTCATTAAGTTTCACTCCTGTGATATTTAAGCACTGATCTGATCTAACAGGGTTTCTTTGCACTGATCGCTTGTGTCGCAATAATGGGCCAAAATCTTTTCTGTTTTAGTTTCAATACCAACAATTATTTTAAAATAATTAAATCTTAATAGTAATGGTCTGTTTCTCTATACTACTTTAGGGTTCCTTTTATTCGGTTTCAATAAAGCAAAACAATTGTGTTTTTGTCACTTGTGAATAGTGCCAATTAATGATATGTTTATCTGTATGGTATGTTTAATAGCTGTCTTGCCTTCGAAGGTACTTCTTATTTATCTCTGTGTTTCAGAAGGGTGGCTTAATGAGTAAGGCATTTTAAATGGCAATGCTAATCCATGCAGCAATGATATAAACATGCTTATGGTGGATTTTTTTAAAAATTATTTCAATCTTATACCAAGGTCTGTGTAGAAAGACTGTTCATGTTCCTCTTCAGGAAAAAAAAAAAAAAAACAACAACAAACAAACAGCAAATCAATCCACAGGCCCACGTTATTTCCATAGTGCTACAGGAGCACTACTTAGAAAAATTTGGGTTTGACAATCTCAGTGAGAGTTCGTGCGTGCAGCCTGATGGGCCTGAAACGTGAAGGCAATATAAGGCAGTAACAAGGCAGTAATAGGCAGTAACAAGTCAGTCATGCATAATAAATGATGATATCATAAAGACTGTACTTACTGGAAATCATGCTGGCTAATTTGTTTTTGTTACATAAGCTCAGAAGGGATGATAGGCGTTAGGAATTAGATGAATTATATTAAGGTCTGTTTTTAAAAAAGTGTCTGTGACAAGGAAGAAAGGGAAGGCTGTGTCTAAGTTTCGGATGACTGAGAAGTTGCTGGAGGAACACAGACTGAAATGTTTGTTTTTGATTGCTCCCGCAGTATCTGGAATAGTGCCAAAACCCCAAAACGTGAGAATAATTTCAGTTAATCTTCATAGCGTCTTACAGTGGGATGCCCCTAGGTTTCACAAAGGGAACGTGAGTTACACTGTCCAATCTAAGAGGTAAGTCTGGGGGAGTTGTGCGTTCTGTAATTCACATTTTACAGCTGCGTGTGTTTGTCATTTGTTTCCTTTTTTGTAGGAAGATCAGTAGCTGACTCTTTCTTTTAGCTTATCTTCTGAACTAAATAACAGGGCAGAGACATTTTCTTCACGTTTCAGACCCGAGGCAGCTTTGTACGTACTTTTTTTTGGAACCAGAAACACATTTTAAAGTTGGCTGTTATTAGCTCTGTGCGTGTTTTTTCTCTATTTGTAGCTGTTACCTGTGGTTCGAGAGACTTAGTCCTGCTGAGCATTAGGACCTTAACCTGGTCTTTCACTCCAGCAGCATTTTGTGCTCTGCCACCAGTGCAGCCAGCTTACCTGCGCCTTTAGTGGAAATGCTCCATGAACTGCAGGCTGGTGGCTCGTCCGTTCAGTGCCTTAAACTTAGGACACGTTTTCTGAGGTCTCCATTTGTCGGTTTCGGTGGGTTGATTTAGCTTTGATTTGGTTTCACTGCTATCGCCGACCGAGTCGGTCTTTCCTGTTGGGAAAAGTGGTCTGCGCGGCTGTACCGAGGAAGGAAGGAGCTTCCCCAGCCCAGCGGTGGGCTCCCTGCCCGCCTCCGTGCTTGACAAGGAAACCACGCGTTGGGCCAGAGGTCTCGCGGTCCTGCTGGAGGTTGGATCCTTTGGCTGAGACAGGGCAGGGTGTAAAGCGGAGATGATGGCACCCACAGGCAGGTGCCTGCTGGGGAGAAATCCCCAAACGAAGGGTACGGACCATCGTAGTCGAAAGATTTTTCTGGGTTCTGGTAGCGATTACCCGTTGATCTCTACATTCCTAGGTGGGCTTTTGATGCAAACCAGAAAGGATATCATATATTAAATGGTTCCCAGTCAGTTCTCAGGCCCCTTTTTCTCTGATTTTTCCTCATATGCATATCTTAAAGACAGTTCCGAACAAAGTCCAAGTTAGATAGCAAAGCCGTGCATAGCAATATATACATAGTCTCATGTTTGCAGACTTGTCAGATGACTACTGTCTGTTGCATGAAGTTTTGTAACCACTGTCAAGAAAAGGGCATCTCTTTACCAAATCATCATTTTAATCTCTAACTTCATCACGGCTTTATAGACACATATAAAATACTTAATGTGTGTGTACACGCCAGTAATGATGTATCTTATACGCTGGATCTAATTTTTCTTGTTCATGAGTCATAACTGGCTGTATTAATGAACAGATACTCCACTTGTTCCAGTTGAATTGAGAGGAATGAAAATAAACTGACATTTAGCCAGTTATAATTTACACATCGTATACATGTTGTTTCTCTTCCATACAGCATCAATTTCCCTGGAAACACGTATGAAAATGTGAGCACAAACCTGAGGCTCACAGAGTGCAATGTCTCTTCTCTGTCTGCATACGGAGACTACATTTTACAGGTCAGAGCGGAGGCAGAAAATGACCATTCAGACTGGGTGACCGTCAGATTCAAGCCGATGGATGATAGTAAGCCTTTTTCTAATCCTCCGTAAAAAATGTTGTCTGCTATGAATGTGCTTTTACAACTTGGCTCCGTAAGAAGAGCTACAGAGTGCAGATCGTTTTTAAATTTAATTATGTTGAACTATAAAATCTTAGTTGTAACACTTTAATTTTTTGAAGGCAGAAGTTGCTGTCAGAAAGCACAATAGCTTCACTGTTGTAGCTAGACGTTAGTATTTGAAACATCTTTTGAGGATGGTTTCAAAAAATATTTCTTTTTCCCTTGAAATAAGGATCATTTATATTTTTTTAGCCAGGGAGAGCTTTTCTTCAAGGATTCAGACTTTCTGTATCTCTAAATAAGTTCGATTACTTTCTTCTTCGTTGCTATGTCAGGCAAAAAGCTTTCTTTTTATTTTTTTAATTAGAAAAAAGAAAGAATTTCACAGAGAAAGATTAATTTTTAGTCAAGAAATCTTAATTGCACAATATTGCTGTTCTCTTAGTGAAGATTTACAGTGTTTTGTGAGAGGTGATTTAGACATTGCCTTGCATTAGAGTGCACATCAGAGAGGTTAATCATGCTGCTGTCACCTGAGCTTGGGAATGGGAGAGTGGTTTTTGCCAATGAGCGTCCTTTGTTTTGTACATTCTTACATATATGCCACTCATAAGCAAAAATCAAACTGGTTTAGATTGTATGGTTAATGTTAACCCAGGCTTTTCTCTCCTCACTGCTGTTAATACAAAACCATGGAGGAAGCTTCTGTCATACTTGATCTTTGAGAAAAACTTTTTTAAATCCTTTTTTTTCTTGTTCTGCCTCCATTTGCTTGAATTTTATCATTCTGTTCCTTGGATTGCAGCGTGTAATTTTACAGTTTACAGCCTTGGTTTTCAAAATGTTTTTATTGGCTATCTCTCCAAAAGCGTAATGTTGATATAATTTAATCTGCCTAGAGCAGAAACAGCATGGAAAAAAAAAAAAATACAATGTCGCAAGTGTAAATCATAGCCAAAAGAAAATGTAATACAAAGAGTATGTATGGATTCTCAGAGCAGAGAGCAAACTTGTAAATCATTAACAGAGTTGTAGTTTGTCATATATTTGAAAGAGCATACAGCCTTCAGAGCAGGCTTGGCCTTGGACAGGCAGCTTATGCCTGAATGGGAAAATCTGGATGTAAAACTACCTGGTAGCACTGGCCAAGTGGCCAAATCTCTGAGGAGGAACTGAGGATTTGTAATGTTGTCATAGCTGATCTGAGCAGGGCATCACGATAAAAATAACTGATATTCCTTTCTGTGTTATTATTTCTGCTACTGCTTTTTTAAAACATCCACCCTGTATTGTAGGAATAGCCCAAGAAAACCAGAGTAACCAAGGCCCTCCTCACATTATTTTCTGTTACGTCCAGCAACATACTCATGACCATTACATGAATGTACGGTCCAGCAAGCAGAGGTTTTTTAATTTTTAATTATAGAAGTACATATTTCTAGAGGAATGCCAAATTGCCTGTACACTGAGCTTTTTCTCTCTTAAACACTTTATAGCGTGACTGTAACCAGGCAGAATTTTAGCAGAGGTAGCTGAGGCAGAGTTGTTTGCTGGGATTGCAGGAGACTTTAATGGAGAGCTCACTGCTGACACAGCGTAGTTGATAACCAAATACTCATGAAATAATGTAGGTAGTGTCACAAAAATATCATAAGGACAAGCCATTTACCAAATGTGAGAATATAATGTTCAGTCTAAGGAGCACGATTGGTAAGACATGCAGAAATAATTCAAATGTTTCAGGTTTTCTAAATGATCACAATGAAAGAAACATTAAAACACTTTACTAGAGGGTCTACTCAGAAAAGACAGATGTTGCGACAGCTTGGCCCAGAAAGAGAAGTGAGTGGTAACTTCTAGAAATAGTCATTCCTCTCCTCACCACAGCTGGCAAAAGAGAACTGAGTTAATTTGATGTGTGGGAACTGTAGTCTGCAATAGTATCTGTTATTTAACTGCAAAAATAAATCCCTTTCCAGACCAGTTGTATAAGGAAAGGATTTATTTATGCCTGACCCATGAAAGGAAATTACTTTCTTCTAATAGATAAAATTATTTAAAACATAAATTGTCATGAGTTGTATAAAAATGTCAAATTGCAATGTGAGAATTAATTCTGTTCTTTCTTCTCTTCCACAATTCCAATATATAGCAGTCATTGGGCCACCTGATGTAAAAGTGAAGTCAGAGTCTGGGTCCCTGCATGTGGATTTCATAGGCCCTTTTGCTGAACATGACAAGTGGCCTCTAAAGCAATACTACGGCTCGTGGAATTACAGAATACTGTACTGGAAGGAAGGCAGCAATACAGAGGTAACCTCTGCTTCTGGGGTGTTGTGACTCCATGACTTTGGTCCATGCTTTTTTTGGTAAAATACCGTACTGATGGAGTTCTGAAAGCTAACAGTGCTGAAGTGAAAATGTATCTCTACTAATTACAGTGTAATGAAGTCTAGTCACGACAACTGCTATTCAGAGCAGATGGCAGATAGCTGTGTAGTTAAACAGTAGCACGGATATCATTTGCCCTTTCCATAGTTAAAAATAACTGCCACATTATGGGAGTTTATTCTCTCAGTTTAGTGATGTGTTTATTTGCGATGCGGTCTTCCCCACCACATCTCTGTGTTTCACACGTACAAGCAAGGGTAACCTTAGAAGCTGCGACATCAGCAGTATCTGTGATCATGGCGACAAGCTGACTTGGATTCAAATCTCATGTCATTCAAGTATTTGTGCTCTTCGTGGGACTTTGGGCTTTCAGTACCACCATGGACGAGGCCTTATATTAACTGTGGTCACCTTCACCGCTTCAGTTTCTATCATTTGTTATTCCCTTTCTTCCTCTCATGGACAGCCTCTTCCACAGACAGATGTGTTACTCAGCTCAAAAGACTGCTCTATACAAATTGCATGGAGAACAATCACAAATACTATAATAATTGTAGGGTCATGAGTTCTATTACAGGAAAAAAGGAAGCCCTTTACCGGAAGATACCAGTCACTGTATAATTAGTGCTTTGTACATCAGTACAATTTTCGTCTAATAGGACTTCACTACATATAATTCTGATTTGTATTTTTTAGCCTGCAAAATACTTTGGCACTCAATTCCAGAAAAAGAGGGACCATCGTTTCCCAAAAAACAGGCTGGTTTTCAATTCCCAGACTGCAAGAAATGAATGTTTCAAACATGAAAAAGATGTTGCTGCATATGTTGCTGCATATGGGATGCAAACTTAGGTGGATTACCAGAGAAAGCGTGAACCTCAGGTAGAATCTGTGCTTGTGGCACTTCAGAGCAGAAGTCTGGGAAATTTCACAGGGATCAGAGGCTCGAAAGGCATGGACTATGTGACTTCATGGGTTGTTTTTTGAAGTGGATGCTCGGCCAAAATGTTGAAACCCAGCTGTAGAGTCTTCTCACCCCTGAGAAAGTTACTCTGTTACTGTGTAATGGGGCATGATGTAGGGATTCCTATACTCTGCAGGGACTGTGTAGTTACAGGGATGTAACCTATTGTGCCTCCAAACAGCAAGTTGCACCTGGCTGTCAGGCACCTGATAGCTTCCACAAGCCTTTTTCTTTCTCTGTGTTTACTTTTTTTGTCTAGGTCATCCATCCTAATTGCTCTGTCTCAGATTAAATTGTTTGCCTGCGACAGCACTCTTAGTGGATCTCGTTTGGTTATGCAATTGTTTCTCTCTGCGTGCAGATCTCATTTATCCCATCTCTGTAGGCCTCTTTAACCTAAGACTTCATTAATGCTGCCAGAAGCAGCCAGAAAGTCAGTGGTGTGAATGGTCTCACGCTCTAACCGTAGCTGAAATCAATGTAGAGTTATCAGTTATGTGACACAGGCAGGGCGTTTCATCCTGCCTTTAAAAGCCTTGTTCACATTGCGGCTGTAACTGCTAGGATTTGTCCTACGAAATGTCATTTGAATTCCTTAGCTAGTCCATTCACTGGACTCATGGTTTTCAATTTTTTTTTTTTTTTGTATTCTGCTCTGTTATTAGGTAACTCGCATAGATACTAAACATAGCTCTGAAATATTATCTCAGTTGGAGCCGTGGACGATATATTGTATTCAAGTGCAAGCAGTTATCCCTGAGTGGAACAAAACAGGGGAGCTGAGCGGAGAGCTTTGTGAGCAGACAACCCACAATGGTAATACCTGGTGCATCACAAGGGGACACGTGCTGCAGGGAACTGGGAAATGTGCAGAGCCTTCAAAATGAAAATCGGTGTAACGTGTAAACCTTCCACAAATGGATGTGTTTGTTACTTTAGTATTGTTTGGTGGTTGATAGGTGTGTACTTTTGGAGTGGAGGAGTTAGAAACGAAGTGAAAACTACAAGCAATATGGCAACGATGGCCTGATGCTTTACTTCACTGCAGAGGCCTCTGCATTCCTCACACTCTGAAAATCAGAGTTAAAAGGAGCACAGGCTCTTCACTCATCACCCTGTGCCTGAATTTCTTTTACCATCAGCTGTATTCACTATCCTGTGAAAGCCTCTGTTCTGTCTGTTTGTACCTGAGATTGGACCCTGTGTTGCAGTCCGCTTTGTCTGTGGTGATCCTGCCAGTGTCTGTCACGAG